TAAGGAAATCCACATTTTTACAACCAGAGCCATTTAATAGATTATTTCAGATTATAATTGCGTAAAAGCATCTAATTCTTCACACCCATGTGTATGAAGTTGGACAGCACTTGACCTTGATACATGGCAAAAGAATAGTGATTTCATTTACAATGGTATATCACACTTCTAGGAATTTAAAAAAAAAAAGTATTGATTATAATGTACGAGTCCTCATGACAAGTGTTTGCATGTTGTGAACTAACAGTTATCTATCATAATCACAATCTGCCTGTGAAAAAATGCTTGTATTATGTATAATATTTTCCATAGATCATTTTATAATACAGTATAAGGAATTATATTATAAGATAAAATATTAAAGATATGCTATCTATGGTACAATCTAGAAAAATGCTAAAAAAAATCAATTTATAGATTGAATTGCTTATTTAAATATATCAAATTAGTTTTCAAAAAAAGTGTATGTTTAGTATATAAATATTTAAAAGAAAAATAGTATTTCAAAGGAATGCTTCAACTTCATCATGGGGTCATATTCAAATTTGACTAATTTAAGTTAAATAATTATATACTACCAATTAAATACAGGTCAAAACCTTTCAGATTTCTTTAGGGCTTGCTTTATTTTTATTTCAAAATAGATGTTTTGGAAACATTGTGTAAATAAAATACTCTTAAACTCTTGCATGATTTTAGTAATAAGGAGAGAGGAAATGTTATTTGTGAAATAGTAAGAGAATACTGTATATTGTAGAGAAATAAGAGGGAGAAACTAGTATATAAAAAGGATGTGAATGGTATTTGTGTGAAAAGTTATACTATGTTGTATCTTAATGTTTCTTTATAATAGTATTTATTAATGGTGCAGCTGATTCTCAATGAGGTATAGTAAAACCTGACCAAAATTTGTTTCATTGTACCTATTGTAAATGTGCATTGGTCAAATAAATTAATGAATTGAAATAAGAAACAAACATGTAATGAGAACTCATGTAGAGGAAAGAGAACAGTATATACTCTTTAACAAAATTATCTTTTTCTTAAATGTTTTATCTGATTTTTGTTTTTAATACCTGAATTTTTTATTTTAGTATTTTAAAATTATACGTAATCATTTGTATTCTGTGCTAACAGCCAATCTGAATTATTGTGCAATGCACATCAATGATGTGACAGAATGATGTAATTTGATTGACGAGTGACATCTAAGATGTGGATTCGTCATTAATCCATCAATGACATTATTCCGTTGGTGATAGCACCTAAACTGAGTCCTATGCGAGCAGGTCAGTTTATGGATATGTGTATTTTATTTGCTGTCAAGGTTACATCATTATCCAGGTTTAAGTGTTAGCAACGAGAGTTACGACACTTGAGAGGAACTGATCCAGTAACTGGATGAGGATTCTGTCCCTGTCATGATTTATCACCACAGCCCATTTTTATAAATGTTGTTAGTTTAAAAGGCGAAGTGATGTTAGGTGATGTAGTAACATGGCGATATTCTGGGTTTATGATCATTACTTTCCCATGTGCATTGTAAACATAGACACATGTGTATGTATTCTTGATAGACAGATAGATAGCATCTTTACTGTTGTTTCCAAACTCTTGACAGTTTTTATTGCAGAATTATGCAATTATAGAAAATGTTACTGTTTTTTCCCCCAAGAACATATCCTTTTATTTTTATTCAAAAAGCATTCAAATATGTTTAGTCATTATTTTTTTACTACCATTCGAAGTATCTTAAATTAATCATTTCAGTGTCAAACATTTAAATTCTTGATTTGTTTATTATTCTTATTAAAACATGTTTGTAACAGCCAATTTTGTAATCTATAATAAGGTATCATATAAATATATTGAAGTTAGTACTCAATATTGACCTAATGTGAAGTGCAGTAAGGGTGTATCTAAGGGGGAAGCATGTTGATGATTGTGAATGCCATACCTGTCCCCGAAAAAGCTTGCAACCTTTCTATAGTAAAATAAATTGTTAAGCCAGCCAGCTTCCTCATCAGTTCCCCTCCCCCTCTTTCCATACCAATACTTCTAGGTAATGCCACTGAGTAGAATAACAAGGGGTCTAGAAATAGCATCTAGCAATCAATAAAACATAAAAACAGAAAAATTGTAAAACTGAAAGAAAATATTCACAAATCTCTTTTGCACTTTAAGTTCATATCAACTTAATAGCATACAAAGAAAACATTACAGTATTCCGATCTAGACATTCTGTCTGGTGATGTTTTGATGAAGCAATTGCTTAAAATGGTTAGAAAATAAAATTGATATGGTAATGTTTACTCAGTAGTTAGTGTTGGAGAAAATTGCTGTGTCCTTGCATCATCCTTATTAATCGATTCTACTTAAAGTTATTTCAAGTAATTTAAATTTTAGAATTACTTGGAAACTTTATTCCATTAAATATTATAAATTAATCAGCTTATCGTTTTACAATTATAATGCATTGTGCTTATAATTATTTATAATGTTTTAATATTATATATTGATTGTTGAGGGTTTTTTGCAAATTGTCACATGTATTTATACTTCAGAAAAGCAGATATGTAAAGCACTGAACAGGCCTACCTTATACTAGTTTATTCACTATAGTTACACATTTGTTACACGCTTGTCTAAAATATTGAAGTGGTCAAGGTAGGGTTCTTTCCTCAGTAAGACATTTGGCTCTGCGGATCTTGTCCCAAGTAGGGAGTCGTAAGACATAACCTCTCCAATATTCTCAAACCTGCATCAATGCTTCAATAATTTTGTCGTCATATATATTTCCATATTACCATCCTATTCAACATTTCAAGAAGTCTACAAACAAACATACCAAGAAATATACACATACACATCTCGGGATGTGATGGGATTTGCTGTAGGTAAGGGACTTGCATATGTTAATAATAATAGTGATAGTATTCTATATAGTACCACTAGGCTTCTCACATTCTTACTCCAGTGATTACTGCCTATGGGCCTAATACACACACTTAGCTCCCTAAGGAAATGTTCTGTAATTTTGAAGCAAGCCCATTGGCATTTGGAACATACCAGTGACTCCTAAATTCACGTTTGGCAGAGAGAGGCAACGTGGATAAAGTGCCTTGCCCAAGAACACGAGGCCATAGTGGGAATCAAACTCTTGACCTTAGGGATGAAATACTAAATCGTAACTGCTACGCTCATGTAGGGATGGTCCTTAGTTTAAATAGAGATCTTGCTCATTTAGTGGGAAAGCCTGAGGATGATCATATCCATGACAGGTAGAGGTTTAGCCTAGCTCACTTTGGGATTTTGCTGTGGTTGTGGTATTTAAAAAACATTTTAATAACAAATTTAGAGAAAAAATATATTTATATACATACATATCATGCATAAATTAAATATAAAGTTGGTATTTTTCAGTCATAGACCTTTATTAAGACATGATATATTACAATTTTGTCACAATTTGACAGTTGTAAAGTCATGGGAATTTAAAAAAATTGTCTGTTCCAAAATGTACTTAATGATTTCGGCTGAAATGGTCACAAAATAGACATTGGCTGAAAAATTACCTTACTAATTGAGATGCCTTAGTATTTATAAATTAAACATTCTGAGAAAGAATAATCCTGAATAAGTTATACAAACTACGAAAAATATATTTTTCTTGGAAACATGTCCTTGTTGTGGCTTTTGAAAGATTTTCTCTGTTTTAGGTGATTTTTCAGTGTCTACTTTTTCTCTGTCTTCAGTAAGATTATATTGCCATGGCAACAATCATGCAGGGAATGTTTGCATCTGAAAATGTGTGATAACTATTTTTGACACTTGTTACTTTTTTAAATTGATGCGTAAACGAACATTTAAGCTTGTATCTAATGACCTATATAACAGGTTATAGCCGGTTTCTTACGTCAGTGCTTAGTTAATTAATTTCAATATTTAAACACCTTATGTACTTTGTATAATTTTAACTTATTAAGTTTTAATTGGAAATTACGATGAAAAAAATGTTTTTGTTGACAATTAATAATTGCTTAAATAATGTAGTTTCTAAATTATTAGTATAGAATCTTATTGGTTGCTAATCAATTTAAAAAAATGTCACAGTATAAATTCTACATCAAGAAAAAATGAATTATGTTGATGTATGTCCCATTAGAAGTTGATAACCTATTTCAAATGATCAATTCAATGTTTTTGTTGATTTTTTTCTGGATTTGAAGACTAATATATTTACTTCATGTCAGTGGTCTTAACTCACAGTATACAATATAGCAATTTTAGTGTTTCAGCTCAGTTTGTCCTTGTCAGATTTTTTTTATAGTTTCCTTGGTTATATAATTTTAGCAATTTCTTTCTTTCATCATTTCTTATTTTCTTTTTAAGTGCATTAAGACTATTATGGGTTATATCAAGTCCCACTTTATTACATTCCATGTATACACTGTAGGTTTGTGTCAGAGGATTGTCACTTGCTTGTATTAAAGATCAATCTTGGGCAGTGTTACAAATCAAATCAGATCAGATCAAACCCACATCCTTCTCATCCTCATCACATATTAGCATGATATTAGCATAGCCTTTCTTTCCAATTATAATCATGGTGTTAAAAATTATTCTTTGGGGATTACTATCTTGGCAGCTATTATACTGGGTACCAAGAGGATGGTTGCAGGGTTAGAGAAACTGAGGCCAGACCAATGCAAAAGTTACACGATCACCCACATAGGCATCCTACTGGCTTTGCCGAGGGCCTCTTTAAATGAATTCTGTCAAAGTTTCTATCATTGTGTTCAAACGATTTTACACTGTTTACCCCTGACCCCGTTATTTCAGTATATTTTAATCTTTTCTTTAATTATATAAGTACCTTTACTGAAATAAACTTTATTTTTGAAGGCTTCTAGTACAAATCTTTGTGTCTGAATGCTTGTGTATTATATTATATTGTAATCGATGACCTTGTTAAAAATAGTATGTTGTTATATTTTCAGATGAGTTGAATGAACTGATTAAGTGCATGGTATGTGGAGACACCTCCACTGGTTACCACTATGGAATCCATTCATGTGAAGGCTGCAAGGTACCGTATACATTCATTACATTATATTTTGGGTGCGTGGCAGGCTGGGATACGTAATGAAGCAATTATTATATAATTTACTGAAGGTATTGGCCAATCTATATCACCCATGCGATCACATTGAAGTTAGAGGGTGGGCTGGACTTGGGACATAGAGGAATGAGTAATGTCAATAATATAGATAATAAGCTATTAAGTGATTTCAAATGTTTGACTGCTTGGTGTCATGTGAGAGAAAAATAGAACCTAAAGACAGTATATCAAGTTATGACTTTAAATATATGCAACATTTGTCATCGCCATCGTTGATGCCAGTCATAGTCATCATCATTATCATCTTCATCATCATCATCATCATCATCTTTCTTTATCATTATCATCATCATTGTCATCACCAACTTCCACCATTTTCTATTTCCTTCTACATCATCATCATCTATTATTTATTCAAATAAATATAGTATGATATTTACAGTGAAGATGGGCTTATTGAAGGTGGATGTAAGTTTGTGCATAAAACACTTATAAAATACTTAAGATAGTGTCTGGATATTATTTTTTTTTTTTATGTATAACTTCATATTTCATCTACCACATGTCTATTTAACCTTGATATTCTGTTCAATAATTTTATTGCTAACTGGTATTTTAATGTTTTTTTACTAGTATTTTTGTCCTAAATTTTACAAATCATTCATATTACTTTTGTGTTATCAGTTGCCATCTTCCTTCCATCCTCTTAAAACTTTGTTTTATATTAAAGCACCAAAATCTGCTGGGTTTTTTAAAATTATTATAATGCTTCTGCTTTTAGAACCAGCTTCCAATCAATTTAACATTTTTCACCTCTTTTTGCAGCTTTATACTAATTTGTTTTCTTTGTAACCATTCATATATCTTGCACCTTTGGTCTGGAATTGGGGGCCATATAAATTTGAGACATATTATATTGTGGTATTCAGTAATCATGACATTAAATATATTTTTACTTTAAAAGTAACTGCATTCTCTCAATTCTGACATTTTAAAACTTTTTTGAATGATATATGGCCTTATGTGGCATAGGGCACCAAAAAGATTAATGAGGTGAGTTTTCCCCACATTTTAAAACTCATTTGGTGCAAGATAATTCACCCTAACAGGGCTAGAATAAATTTTGCTTTTTGTTGTAAGTGCTGCCTTGAAATCCCATGATCTTAGGTTCAATCCAAACTAGACTCATAATAAAATGTAGCTACAGAACATAAACAGATAATTCCATCTTGCAAATGACATGGCACTTGCTGTTTTATATGAATAATACATTGGTTTTTTTTTCAACAATAATCTATTATGCAAGTAATAAAAGGCATTTTTTTACAGTGAATAAGTTGTTGATATTGTCATTCCACGTATATTCATAAATTGGGTGTTTATAAAACAAATTATACAGGATTAATTTAATCCACCAGTTCAAAATAGCCTATAGAAAAACATGAAAATAAGTGTGTAAACCATTATCGTTAGTTATTGTTAAATTAAACATTACACGGCAGTTTGTTGTGTGAAAGACAGCACGTGATGTAATCGTGTGGGTAGGAATGTATTGAGAAGGGCAGGGCTAATTGTATGACAGGATTAAGGATAGTGCTGACATGGATTAGGTATGCAATATGTATTGCAAGATCAAACTCAGCGTGAGGCTATTATTAGTCTGCAAAGAAAGAAAATGTTTGTTGAGATGGAAGAAAAAAAACAATGAGAGTAGTGAAAAAAGAAATAGAATTATCTTAACTAGCTGACTGGAATTTTGTGGACTTGGTGGAAAACAAATATTTTACAATTACTCACTTAAAATATGTATAAAAAATAATGAAAGAATAGAAATATTAATTAGTAAATAATGACTTGAAGAGTTGAATGAATAAAAAATATTTAAAACAAATGAAATAGATTTTGTATGAAGGGAAGAATTAAATGATAATAAAGGGATGCAGTGTGTAAACAGTATGAGTAAAAATTAAATGGATAGAAAACAGGATCAAGTGAAGAAATAATCAAAAGCATGTGAAATAAAACTGAGATTAAAAATTGATAAATAGAAAACAATAAATGAATTTAAAAAAATGTAATTTAGATAAAGAAAATATTGAAGGAAATGTAATTATAAAAAGACTTACACAATTAGTGGGATCACAATAGGATAATTGTGAATAGATGGAAATTATTATTCAGTGGAAAACAAAGGTTGAGATTTATTTATGGAATGGGGAGAAATTGATGAAGGGGCAGAAAATGGTGAAGGGGAAAAAAATTGTGAGTGAATGGAAAAGGCAAGGTTCAAAATGTCACAACCCAAGACTTACAGTTTTATGTTATGGGCAAGGCATGCGAGCATCCAAAGTTTGCATTATGCATTAATAGCTTTGCCCCCAGGCTCTTAGGATTAGTCCAGTGGCATTCGACACTCAGCGAAAATGTCATGGACGCACTGATAGAAATTACTATACATTTAAACGCATATTCCGTTTGCTAATGAACATGAAACTATCAATCCTTGCAACGGCTTGTATGTTTTTTTTTTAGCCTAGTCAGTGAATCACTAACCGTAGGTCCATGACTTGAACATGTCATTCCCCAATAGATTTCTTGCTAAGATAAATTGGAAAATACATCCATTGTGCTATGGGATTGTATTGCACAGTCGTATAAATATTTACAATCGATCCACCCTTTTAGTGTTGGCTTGTTTGGTGCTGGGAATTGGAAAGCTGAAATCATTGTCAAAGTTTTTTGTAATAGAGTACGAAAAGGTGAAAATTAAGTAAGAAAACTTGCCGCAACTGGCAAAAAAATGTAATAAAATACTCAACTCTCAATAGACTCAAGAAATATCCCATTAAAATTTTTTTCTCAGTCTATGAAGATTAAAGGCTTAATGTTAAGTACACATAAAGAATCATACATAAAACTTTGGCTTATTACTTGAAGTAAACTGTGACTAACGGTAGACGAATGTTGAAGAGGTAGCCGTCATAAAGATTGGAAAATGACAAGACAACTATTGATGCATGCTGTTATTATCCATGCAAACAAATAATGTAGGCCATAAAATTTGGTATTTCAAATTCTCCATTATTTCTACTGAATGTCTTACAAAATGTTTATTAATATTTAATATCAATAAAGTTATTGTTTTTGTTATTATTTAAATTCTATTAAAAAGCCAATTTTAAGATGGTACGGTGAAAATACACATATCTAATATATTTTTGTTTATACTACAATAAAAATTAGGCATTTTTCTGCTACTTAATATAATAGGCAGGTGTTATTACACCTGTCATATTTAATGATTACTGTGGTCTTTTGTTTATCATTGTCTGTCGTTGTAAATCGCAATATGGCTTTTTCTGCAATGTACCTTAGAATGGCATTATTTACTTTATCATATTATCGTTATTCTTAAGTAAATAATTCTATAAAAAAATTGCCTTTTATGTTTTCTAACAAATAGCCAATATTTATTTAAAGGTTATTAATTATTTATGTTTTCTTTGGTGTCAATAATTGTAAAACAGCTTGTTATATACACAGGTGAATGAAATTTAAGCATAGGATGGTATAAAACAGCAGTCACTGTTTTTTTATCACATACAATGTGAGTGCTTGACATTCATACTTTTTCCTCAGCATTCCATTGGGTGTCAACACCTTCCTAAGTGAGCAGAGCTTTGTCTAGGTTTACTTGATCACCTATTCAATTTCGTAGTTCATTGTCACATTAAATGAACATATGTAAATGTATCCTACCTTCTCTCTTGTTACAAATAAATAAATCATGTGATTTATTGCTTTTGTATTCAATTTTTTACGATATTAATTTGATTTGCAGGATTCAAGGTCAACGTGTATGTGTCTCATATTTCATATGTGGTGTTCTAATAAACAGAGTTTTAGATTATAAAAAAAAAGAAATACATTTTGTAAAGCTGAATATGAGGATTAATTATCCGAGTGTCAATTTACCTCATAAATTTAGATCGTTGTCACTTTTTTCGTCTCCTTTGCAACACCCATCATCACCATTCATCAACATCATCTTTTTCTTTATTATTATGGTACACTTCTGACATTGTATTTCTATTTATCTCATGTTATTTTTAAGTAACTGTCTATATTTACTCTATAGCTCTGATCTCTAATAAATAAGCAAATTATATTTTCATTCATTCTCTTTATTTCGAAAACAAGTTCATAGTATACAACAATATTAAATATAAAGTAAATAGTTTATATACAATATTAAGAATATAAAATTAATAGGTTATATCTTATTTATATAAATATAATGCCAAAAATATGACATAATATCAGATCTGTGTTTCTTTTTTCTCCATTACCCCAAGTTAAAACATAAAATATAATATTGCAACAGAAGGAATAAAAAAAATTCTTCCAATCCCTCCACTTCACTTGAACTTATTAAAATCATTCAAATAATCATTGAATTAACATTTTTATAGATTTTTTAATGAAATTTGTTCTGGAGATTCAATTTTTAAAAGCTGTAAACCCTTCCTAGACAGCCATTAGGCATGTATTTATATATCCCTACCACAGATGCTGTTTCAATATTGATCCATATCTTTGCTATGATAACATCAAATAATGTAAAGAAGACTAAGCTAATAAAACAGCAAACAATGACACAGTCATGATTGATAGCTTGTCTCAAATTAACAAATTATATTTTTTTAGGAAACAAACAGTAAAAAGCAGCCTTCATATTTCACATATTTTTGAATTCCATTCTGATTCAGAACAAGGAGCAATACTGTTTTTAATAACATTCATACTAAGAGGCTCCAGGGAGACAAAATCCTTATTATAAAGCATTTTGTTTGACATGGAGGTCATTGAACTTGTGTGTTCACATTGCATTGCAATTGTATTGTAAAATAAAAATCAAAGAAAGAAGAAAACAAATTTTCAGACTTTTAAAGCTGCTTTGTATTAAA